GAACGAAAATGTTACAAAAGCGGACGTATTGGAAATAATGGAAAATTGATTAGATTAGAGTATTAGAAGACGAATCGGGATATTAAGATAATATGCAATTTTTAACTAAAGGTTTAAGGATAGACATTTAATTCGTTGTTTATTTTTCATTCGTGTAAATGTAAGGAATGGAAGAAAATAACTTCGCTTTCCTTTATTTATGATTACGTTTATGTAAACGGGAATACAAAATATCGTGTATGATAAAGAAGGAAACCGGAATGTTTAATTTGATATGGGATTGCTTCTAAATATTACCTCTTATAGGTGTCGATAACTTTTGGAGAATATATGGGAGGTTATAAATTGATCAATTTTTATTTTGAATTTCCCGTTTCCTGTTCTAACTACACTTTTAACAGGGGCTAAATTATATTATTCATAATTAGGACATTGCTGCCTTTAGAAATTCAGTATGTAGTTAATACATTATTACGATAAAGCTTTGGAATCTTCCCATTTTTTTCTCAATTTTCCTCCAAGAGAGTGTAATCTTTCAAGTTTTTATTTACGTATGGCATATAGAAACCAGTAGAGATAGTTCAGAAGCTAGTCAAACCTTGTTCACAATATCTTATCGCAACCGTAAATAAAACTGCACCTAAATATAATAAACATAAACAATATTAGAACATTATTGTATCTGCATAAATTTGAAAATTAACAATTCTAAAGCAATCACTGCTATATAAAGGAATCTGAAACAAGTCATTCCAATGATTTACGGACACGAAACAATCATGCTACGCTTATAGACGCAGCGTATAATAATTATAATAGAAATACTTCACGGGAAACTACCTCTAAATTCGTAAGAGCTCCGAACAATTAAGACGGCGTAAACATGCAGCATCGGAATATTAAAGATCGACAAAACTGGATGGGCATGTACAGTTTTGGGAACAAACGTTGCAGTAGAAATCTCTAATTAATGGCTCCGTCAACCCGGGTATGACAGAATTTGCAGCAGCTGAACGTCTTCTTCATATTTCTTCAAATCGGATTGAGCTTTTTTCAAGGCAAATGCCGCTGTTTCGTTCAATGAAACACGCGCGTCGAAAATAGCTCTGTTCGCGTATGTATGAAAGATAATCAGGCCACATATCGTTACATATATCAAAAAATAAATCCCCTTATGGAGCTCTGTGATCTACTGCTAGATGTCGGTTCGCGTCGTATTTATAGGCCTCGCATTTCGACAATGGAAAAGTATCCGTTCGTTAGCGTTCGCTAACCTTCCTTCCGCGCCGACATTACTATATTCCGGCGTCTTAAACATGGTATTTGCATTTAATGTATCTCTATTGTGATACTTGGATATCTGTCAACTTGTTTCTCCGTTCAATTGATCAAAAACCTCCAATTCGCATAAATCACGTGACATTTAATATACGATTTCTGACTGCTAGATAATTTTTTTTCATTACTTAAATTACTTTATTAAACACCAATCCTGTTAGCTATTACTTCAAAAACCACATGGAATTTAACTTGTTCTTATTCAATATGACTGGTGTGCGTTAATATAATTTTATTCTGTGCATATTCTACCATATAAAATTTTATTCAGTGTCATGTCGCTGATATTCTCTTCATTCAGTTAGAAATCACCTGGAAACGAAAAATTGACTAATAGCTTCCATGTTCTTACCATAGCTTTCTTAATACACCGTATTTAATTTTAATTTTCACAATTTTTAAGCAAGAATCTGTCTCTGTTATCCACATCTAAGCAGCCTATGTCCAAATTCAAGCCAAGGATGCGAAAATATTTAAACTACAAATGTCATCGTACGATGGATAGTTCGAAAATTAATTTATTATAGATTCAGTTTCGCTCATAAACGCTCACGTAATTATGCAAAGAATATACGTAATACCGCATGCCGTTAACCCCTTACACCACAGTGTCGAGTCTAACGTGCCGTGAGTTTCGCATGCTAAACCACATAAATATCAATTACACTCGCATTAGATTGCAATAATATTCTAACGTGCACGAAATTTGAATGTATCCAAAAATTCACAAAACTTTATTTTGAATAAAACATGTATGTATATTGCCAATTAAAATTCAATAACTTTAGTGTGCTTAGTTTCTCGCAAATGAGTCATGTATGAACGCAAAGCCTACCCTGGATCAAATTCAAAAACATATACATATATTCGATTTGATATCGCTCATACAGTCTATCATTGCTTGGGTTACAAGATTGCGTCATATTACTTTCAATATACGTCGAATTTCTTTCTGTATATTTTTTCTCTTTATATTCGTTCCTCCTATTCTCATCCGTGCGTCATTTAACTTATGGCAGGTTTAATGATAAATTTCAGGTAACAATGCTTGGAGTATCGGAATAAAGTAATTCCACGCGTTAGATAGCACCCCTTGAACGTTCTAAGAAATTTCGTTGACTTTTCAATGGAAAATCTACGAACCGCTATTTTCCCGCCGCGACGGAAACGCCTCGTATACTCAGGCGATGAAACCCGTTCCACTAGACCCGTTCCGGTCTAATTCTAATTCCTACGTGACTCGTGGACTCGATAGCCGCTTACTAGCGTACCACGGAAGGATGTAACGTGTTTCGGTTTCCCTTGACGAAAATGGATAGTATTAGCCACAAGATGCGACCCCGCATATTTACCCCCTCCCAGCGAACAGGCGAGAGAACGAAGATACGCAGCTCCGCGGATTTGATTCGAATTTATTTTGCATCCGCTCGAGACGTAATACCAAGAATCCGGGCAGACACTTCTACTTGCAGGA